CTAGCCCCGTTTGTGTACGAGTTGATCTATTGCTGTCTCTTATACACATCTAGATGTGTATAAGAGACAGCTCTCTCTCTCTCTCCGGCACGGGAAGAGAAAGGGAACCAATTTTTTTCTCTGTTTCTCTTTTTGGATAATTAGAAATTGTTTTTCTTTTTTCGTCCCCCTTGGTTCTCTCTCTTTCTTTTACTTTTCTTCTTGAAGTAGGTTGAAGAAGTGGACGCCCGGTAGCTGCAGCCTTGGCACGGATAGGCATACCTTTTGGCAGAGGCTTGTACTTTGTACCTGGGTCACGTACTGATGGTGTAACGTGGGAATCAGATAACCCAACATTACATGCCAACCAAAATATATCACCTGTGTCCCTATGGTAACCCACTACAACGTTATCGGTCACTCCTATCGGGCCCTCCTCTGCCGCCGCTGCCGGCGCACAAAACTGGACCCTGGACCTCTCATCCTAGGCACCCAGGCTCAATCCACTGAGCGACTCGATCATCTGATCTGTTTGTGCACTGTACTAGGCTTGGCGACGACTAGCCCCAGCACTCTAACTGAAGCACGGTACTAGGCTGGGGGACAATTATATGGGGCCAACCTAGGAGTCTAGGACCCAGTGATAGTGGCGGGGTAGAAGGCTAACGGAATGTAAGCCACTACGTTCCGGTTGCAACGCCAGAGCTCTAACCCACTGAGCTACTCGACGCTGGAAGCTCTGGGCGTTCTTACACTACGCGCGCATGCCCAACTGGTGCGGTGTTTGTGCTGAAGCAGCCTCACGTGATGCCCAGATTTATCATGGTGTACCCAGATTTATCCTGATGTACCGGAACGCATCCATATATCCTGGAGACAAGAGATATCGGCCTGAAGGAGCGGGTGCTACTTCCGCGCATAGTCCGCCATCATGCATCCCCAGACCCATTGCTCTGCTGACGATGGCGATGACAAACACTTGTGCGCATAATCCACGGCGGGGTGTGTCAGTGTGACTGTGTGCACGCGTCCTGCCTGTGTGCGCGCGTGCGCGCGTGCGTGCGTGCGTGCGTGTGTGTGTGTGTGTGTGTGTGTGTGTGTGCTGTCTCTTATACACATCTAGATGTGTATAAGAGACGTCAGTGTGACTGTGTGCACGCGTCCTGCCTGTGTGCGCGCGTGCGCGCGTGCGTGCGTGCGTGCGTGTGTGTGTGTGTGTGTGTGTGTGTGTGTGTGTGTGTGTGTGAGAGAGAGAGAGAGAGAGAGAGAGAGGGGGGGGGGGGGGGGGGGGGGGGGGGGGGGGGGGGGGGGGGGGGGGGGGGGGGGGGAGGGAGAGAGCGGAGGGCACGTGTGCGGATGAAGAAGGGACGGCGAGGTCAGAACATGCAGGGAACTGGAAACGTGTTGTCACAGTGAAGTGTGCAGCGCGGTACAGCCAGGGCATGACGAGTAGCAGGTGAGAGATCGGATCGGATCGGATCGGAGTTTTTACTTCGATGCCATTCGTTTGCCAAGGCGGAAAAAGAGGAGGACAAGCGCGACACGGTGCACCAACGAGGAGGACAAGCGCGACACGGTGCGCCAACGAGGAGGACATTGTCAAGCGCGACACGGTGTGCCTTTAAGGCTTTAATCGAGTGAGTTCAATCACTTCACTCCGCGTAAGTGGATCATTGCTTTTCCGGTTTGTTCTGTCGTCTCGTAAGGAGACTTCTTATCCCGTATCTTCTCTCCCTTCCGTATGTCGTCCTTTCCTCTCTTCTCCGCTGTCTTCTCCTCTTGTGTCCATCTCAATGCTCTTGGCCCTACAAGCTTCTGCTTTTCTCTCGTCTTAATTTTTTATTTTTTTTTCCCCGTTCTCTCTCCTCTCTCCTTTATTTTTGTTTGTTTCTTGCCTTTAAGGGTGACAGACTTGAGAACATCATGTTCCAACTGACCAGCACCGGATAACCCATAAATACTTGATTTCATTCATTTACCAGTAGTTCCATCGGGGTCCGAACTCAGGTCTGTATTTTGCCAGTTCATGCGTGTACCAACTGCTGCGCTAGCCCCGTTTGTGTACGAGTTGATCTATTGCTTTCTCCTTTCTCTCCTTTCCCTTTAGAACCTCCTTGTGAAGCCTAACCCTCGTCTCCCCCCCCCTCCCCTCTCCCCCCTCCCCCCTCCTCCCTCCTCTCGTTTTTCTCCACGCATAGTTTTTTTTTACGAAGAATGGCAGGCTCGAAAAGATCAGCTCAACCAACTAAACACGCGAGCGCACGATCAAGACGTTGGTAAAAAGCGGAAACAACTCCAGCCACCGTACTACCATCCCACCCACCCCTCCTTTTAAACACTTAGCCGCAAACTGCCAGAGGAATACTCGCGATTCCCTTTCTCGGCCGCGAGGAATAGGCCGAAAACAGCGCCGCCCCACGATGGCGTGATCATCTTTTTCAGTTACCTGTGTTGATCCGCTGCCAGATCCATGACCATGAGCTGCAATCGAACTAAACTTTTCCTAACTTCGCTTGGCTTGCTCCTCCACCATAGCTGCGATGACGATCAGCTACCTGTCGACATCTCATCTCCAGCTTCGACCGGCTCTCTCCTCCGCCATAGCTCCGCGCTCTGCTCCAGCTTTCCTCGGAGCGAAAAGTCTGCGGAGCTATGGTGGAGGAGACAGCCGGTCGGTTGTTTTCGGTTGTTTAGAAAAGAATAGCAAGATCAACTTGCTCAGTTCGAGACGGACTTGGGCAACCCCTAGGGGTAGGGTAAGGCTGCAGATTTATTCACTTTTTATTTTTCCTCGGCTGCGAAATGGTCTGTCCTATGCTGAAACCCTCTTTTTTATTTGGGGGGGGGAGGGGGCGTCTGGCATGGAAGTCATCTGCTCATCATCCAGGTTGAGTGAGACCTCTGTATTACCACGGAAAACAGATGCGAGCCTTGCGTAGAGCATAACCACAGAGAAGTGTACGAGCTACAGAGCAGATCCTGTTCAAGTACAGACTGTACAGTCGTACTTCGGCAACCCGTAGGGTACGGTAAAGCTGCAGAGCCTCTGTTTTTTTTTTGTTTTTTTTTTTTTTTTTCCATTCGCGAACTGCTTTTTACCACCGTGCACAAATTTAAGGTCGCCTCGTCGCCGTTGCGTCGGTCTTTGCTCACGTGATTGCTGTACAGACCGTTCTTTGGCAATGCTGAATGGCGCGCGGGCATGCTGTACTAGGCAGATATCCGCTGGCGTAGGGAAAGACAGTGTCTTGCTGTTACAGTGACCTTAGAATGACGGGACGTCACCTAAAAATCTCCGGAAATGCTTTATGAGCTTGCAAGCAGTCTCTTTTCCGCTGCTTTTTCCCGTCTCTCTCGCGCCTTGCCGGTATCTGCGTATCCTCTCCAATGACACAGATTACAATGTGTTTGGTCTACAACTACGCACACACGCACACGCACACACACACACACACACACACACACACACACACACACACACAGACAGAGAGAGAGAGAGAGAGAGAGAGAGAGAGAGAGAGAGACGTTTAGCGGGTGCCCTATCAAGGGAAGGTTCTCATCTCGGCTCAAGATCGTAAAGTTGCCTCTCCTGTTTTGTGGGATTTTTTCTAAAGACGTCCACGAGTATCCATGCACACGCGCAACAATGAATGGAACAGAAGAAACGAAGAAAGGCCGAGTAAAGCTGCTCCGTCTATACCATGAACAGAGCGGTAAGTCGATCGGATTTCCTTCCCTGCCTTTTTTAACCACTTCCCGTGGCTTTCAGTACCGTTGGTGAGACTGTCACTCGAACCTCTGTAGGAATGAAAAACCGGCAACTTCTAGCGCTAGGATCATTGTCCTGGACGCATCTTGACGTCAATTGCGGTCAGATTCGCCGGGAAAAATCCTGTAATGAATATCGCTGAGCTCCTGACATTTGGCTTCCCGGAACTGTCAAGATCTGTTTAAAGGGAGTTAAATTTTTCTTTCTTTTCCTTTTGGTTTATCCGTTCCCTTTCCTTTCGCTGACAAGCTCTTGTTTGTTTGCTTCCTCTGTGAAGAGACAGAGGTATAGTCACAATGGGTCTTTCGCAAAAGCAACCAGCTGTGTATAGCAGCCAGATACATCCAGGATAAATGAAGACCTCGCGTGAGTATGCCCAAGGATGCGAAATCTTCCGGATCTGCATCTGAATATACAAGAGTTGGACCATTTCTCGTGTCATCCTTCCGCAGGGCCCATGCTAACAGTCTCTGTATCGTTCCAATTTTAACGAATGTCCCGAAGGACAGAAACATGGCTTGCGTATCGGGGAACATAGAAAGATGTGCTAGGTATACAAGACCAGCGGAGGCACTCGTTGTACAGCATACAAAAGGAGTTGGCACTAGAGGAGCGGGAGGAGGATGAGGAGGAACAGGAGGGACGGGGAAGTCATTCGCAGAGAAGAATACTAGAGAGAGGGAGGGAGGG